TCTGTTTGGCAGGCGAAACCTAGCGCGGCACCAGGGCGAAAAAGGAGCCTGCCATACTTGCCATGGTCAAAACGTACACGCAAAGTCCTTTATACGAACAGGAAGTCCATGACCATCCCTATCGTCCCCAAGAGGAGTGAATTGACCATGGCCATGCTTGACAAGCCACCTGCAACAGCTTCCACTGCAGCTTAGCACATGCCTCGCCGGAGGGCATGGACACCGTGGAAGTCTCCGTTCGGAGCTGCCTCGAGTTTCGGCTCGGCGAGAAAGAAGCAGAACGCGCGAGGGAAAGGCTACGCCAGCTGGGTTTTCCCTGGGAGGGGTCTGGGACACCTTGGAGTCTGTTCAACAACTGAGAAGCTGGCGGAGCTCAGCAATCGACCCGAACCCAAAAAGATCTGGGGGTTCTACAAGGGCCGTGGAACAAACAAATTGGTTCTGGTGTGACCAAGCTAGAAGCCCACTCACTATTAGAACTGTTTTATGGTCTCCTGATGTCGGAACTCCCAACTCCAATATGTTGCTGTCCTACCGAAAAGAACCGTAGACTGTTCAACCCACTTAAGCTTAGTAGGTAGGTTGGAATCGGGTTGTCTAGCTTGTCCATTCCCACGACTCTCCATGACCCTTTAAAAATGGGTCCATGACCCCATTATTTCGGGTAATGACCCCATTTTGTAAGGGTCAGAAGGAGACTCCAGGTGTGTAGCTAAAAACGGGTTAAGCTTCGCAATTCCCTTCTCGCAAAAGGGCTTCCACCGCCCCCAAACCACTGCAGCGGGATATGCAAGCTTGAGAGAGCGACGATATGGTGGCTGTATATGGCCATGGGTCAAAACCCCAATCGTACCCCTAGTGCATATCCCAATCCAACCACTAAAATAGATTCTAAAATGGAGGTGCACCTACCAACCAAAATGGGATCCCATTGATTTTAACCCACAGCCATATCCCAATGAACTAGTGGGGATAAATTATTTGCGAGTCGAAATGGGATGCACCATCATACTCATTACACAAAGGGTACATATACGCCATTTTGCTAGTGATTTGGAGGTAGACAGAAGGGTTGGGTCAAGCCCCGGGTCTGGGTGTTTAAACGCACTTAATCACCCAAACCCTGGCGGCAACCCTCTTGCCCAGTGTTTCCAGCTACTAGAGTATAGGTAACCAGGCATGTTCACGAAGTTCCCATGATGGTTTCCACCAGTAACATGTAATGAAAACTGAAACTGAAGCCCTGTGGTAATCTCTATGATAACCTATGGCAACTAACCCCGTACAAAAGCTGGCAAGGAACCTGCAGGATACTGCCTGGAATCCCAACAAGTGGTGCAACAAAAACGGGGTGAAAGTAGACGGTGCATTTTCCCTTCATTCTGGGCAAGTGATGAACACACCATGGGGGAATTGCCACTTTTATGGAACTTCCCCAAAAGCGAATCTCCTTTTCATCCCCCTGTGTTGGTTCCATCTTAATCTGCAGGGTAGCTCCCTCCCGCCAACTAACATGGAACCTGACGTTTGGGTCATGGTTCCATGTGGCCATGGGTCAAAATCCAAATCGTACCCCCAGTGAACATCCCAATCCCCACTAAAATAGACTAAAATGGGTGGTGAATTCACCTACCAACCAAAATGGGATCCCAAAACGGTTTTGACCCACAGCCATGTGAATTTCTAGGGGAAGATCAATTCCTGTGTCATGGTTCCATGTGAATTGGTAGGGGTACCCGGAGTCTCCACGACCCTAAACAAATGGGGTCGTTACCCAAAAGAATGGGGGTCATGGAACCATTTTTGATTCGGGTCAGAAGGCGAGTCTAGGTCTATAAATTTCACCCCAGCCGGATCGCGCTTCGATCTATCGGTCCATCGATCTGTGGCGGGCACGTGTCCATGGCCGTGGAGGCGGCGCTGAGCAGGGAGTTCATGGTGTCCCGATCGCCCTGACGCGAAGGGCGTGGGACCCGGTAGACGGGGGTACAGTGAAACCCCACCATGGTTCTAAGGGTTGATTCCTTGTCCATTCTTTCCAACCATCGTTCTTTTCGAAAACCGCATCCGTTTCCCTGGGTTTCCGGAGGTTTTCTAGAAAGAAGGATCCCTGGGTTCAGAATGGGGTTTGTAGCACTAGAATAGTGAATAAACAAAGGGGGGTGGTTGAGGGGTGGGGAGGGGGAACAGGTCTTGTCTTTCCGGGGTCCGAACATATGTCCAGATGGTGGCATATTTGGACCTGGGCTCTATTCCCGACCAGAACAACCGAAAGAAGTTTTGTAGAATCAAGAACAATGAGAAAGAAGTTTTGTAGAATCAAGAAATTTTGTAGAAAGAAGTTTTGTAGTTTTGTAGAATCGAGAAGTTTTGTAGCTAAGAAGTTTTGTAGTTTTGTAGAATCAAGAAGTTTTGTAGAACATCCCCTTTGAAGCTCTAGCCGTTGCGCCAAACGTAGGCGGGCCTTTTCCGAAAGCACAATTCTCTGCAGCAATCCCCCCCCCGGCTACATGTACCTGCGAAGGAGGCTGCGCGCGCTGTTTGCCTAATTCAATGTCAACGGGTAGCACACAAAGACATATGCGAAAGCCCCAAAACGACAATTCAAACCACCAATTCCGGGTTACTCTATTTCTATCCGTGCATTGAGCTAAAACACAGGCAGGTGGATTCAGGTGGGTTCATCCTTTACGAAACTATGAAGAAGACACCTGACTCGCTCCCCCCTGAAGGCACCTTCACGTGAACTATAACTAGTTGCGCACAGTGGTTGAGCAGATTCAAGCAAAGCAACACCAACTGCTGCCTGGTTTCTAACACTTGGCCAACTATGTTCAACCCGGAAAGGTAATTGCCAAAACAGAAAGACCAAGGGACCGCTATATCGCCCAAGCATGGCAGTAAGTACCCTTTCCATGGGATTCAGCTTCCATTTTTTGTTTGAACTAAATGAGTCGAAGATCACTATTCCTCACAAGCCAAAACAGTTGATGTATTGTCCAACATATCTCAGAGAAAAAAGAACTGCTCTTCTTGGGCTTCATGGAGTCTAACTTAGTTCACAAAGGAGTAAGGACTCTGTTCATGTTGATTGTGGCCTCCCGTTTTGGTTCGGTCTCCTTTGCGCTATGTTAAGGGTGCAAAGAAGTGCCAGGACTCCCCCCACGCGATTCCGATGGGAAGAAAACGCGCTTGACCCTTTGCTTATAGTTGGCTTCTGAAGGGAAACTGCCACTCAACACAAGAACGAAATGCCCAGGTCCTCCAGTAGAGAGGTTGGAACAAGGGTACCACTTTTTTTCCGTAGTCTATTTTAGTAGGGGAACCCTCCCCAAAAAAGTTGGTAAAAGGGCACCAATTGCTGGGGGGCCTAGTTGGGATCTTGAGAGGGCAATTCGGTCAATCTGAGAGCCATGCCCGGTGGGTCAGCACCCAGGTGGATCCGCTGGAGCGTTTGGACCTGGGTTCGGGGTGGTAGAGGTGGGAGATTGGAAGGTTGGGGGGGCATCCCGAGTTTTCCCCATGCGTAACTTGTACCTAGACTCTCCTTCTGACCCGAATCAAAAATGGGTCCATGATCCCATGATTTTGGGTAATGACCCACCATTTCCTAAGGGTCATGGAGTCATGGAGACTCCAGGTGGCACTTGAGAAGGGAAGCGCATAACATCTGGACATGGGACGCATCCTTCAAAATGGGGGGGATCCCGCATCCGTCGTGGCACCACTGCAAGGGAAACAAGGAACACCACTATATACCATCTTCAAAGATGATTGATTGTGAACCCAGGAAACAAGGAAAGTGGTCGCTGAAGTCGAAAAACGGCGTGATTGATTGCTTGCTTGCTTGCTTGATTGCTTGCTTGATTGCTTGCTTGACTGATTGATTGATTGGTTGGTCGGTTGCCCTCTTTCAAAAGTGTGATATCTTCGCGAGAGCACGTCATCAGGATTGTCCAGGAAGACTCACACTGAACAGCCTTGTGCGACACTGATTGATTCTCTGCAACCACTGCCTCCATTTGTTTAAGTCCCCTGGGAAAATATATATTTCCAGTAGTGATAGTATCCCTTTAAAACCAACAGGGGAAACTAAAAAATATTATTAACCAACTGGAAGACTGAATGCAACGTTCAAGCGGCCCCCCCAGGGAAAAAATGAACACGGCTTGCCATTTTTTTCACTGAGCTCTCGAGTACATCAACAGGCTTGCAGGAATTAGTGGCAAACATGATCTTGCCAAACTAGGTCCTCCAGTAGAGAGGATAGAATAAGGGTATCAACTTTTTTCTGTAGTCTATTCTAGTAGGGGAACCCTCCCAACCGAAAAAGGGTGAGAGAAGGGCACTACTGGGGGACCTAGCAAACATGCATGAGGAATCCGAAACTATTCAAGTAATGTTGATCCCAGATTGACGATTCTCCGCCGAGCACAATTGGAGTCAAATTCAGGGAAGTCCCTGCTACATTTGACATTTTTGACTTGCTTTTAGATTCCCTTGAAGCAGCACCGGAATCCGAGTGGACAGCCAATTTTGAATACACCCCCGCGTTCCTCCCCCATGCGCCGATGCGCGCGCTGTTTGTGATTTGTGTGCTCCCTTCTGCATGCAGGTAAGGACCGTGGAGAGCAACTGGAAGCAGCCAACAGCAGAGCTGCAAGAAGAAAGTCGACAGTCAGCCACACAGCTTCTGTTCACATTGCCGTCCACGAGATGCCCAAACCCAACGCCCTATGACTGGAAAGGCGCTGCGAAAGAGGCCCTCTGGCTCAAGGTAGCGTCTATTCGGGTTGGACTTCGCTGGTGAACCTTGACTGCAACATGCCGAGGTCGTATCAACTGTCATCCTGTCTGCCTCGTCGTTGGACCGTCAGGAACAGTGGCTGCCAGCGCCGGTTGCAGTTTAGAATGGCGAGGTTGTGACTGAACTCTGGGAAACGTTTGCTTGCATACTGCAAGTGCAGATCAGGCGACCAGATCGGCGTAACATGGCTCGCTCACTCCTTCACGGCAAGCAGAACTGTTCGCTTGCTGGATCTCATATGCACTGCGCTGCTTCTGCGAACAGCACCAGAGGCTGATAAGCAGCCCTCCAAGTATCTCGACCACTGCAGGTACTGGGTTTCATCTGCCACCGACTGCCGATACAGGTGCTTCAGGCCTGAGTGATTCGTGGATGCGTTGCTAAAACTTGAACTCGCAAACGATATGTCAAACATCCCTCTAAATGCCAACAAATGAAAAAGTCCTTTTAAAGAGTAAGGCTCTAAGCGTCAAAAGGTAAACCTCGTGCTGTCCACACCAACAAAGAAGCCCCGTGACCAAATTGACTTCTTGCCAACCCCCAAACAAAAACGGGGCTCCTTCTATATGTCCCTCTCAAACATCACCCTTCCAAGAGGAACATGATAATTCAACTCCTGCAAAAGGCCCAGAAAAAGCCCAGGAAACTGCAACCATTCAAGTTATGCTCAGCATTACCCTCTAAAGGTTGCTTAAGGGAAACAACCCCCAAAAATAATTTTGTTTGCGCCTCAAATTCAAATGCTCACTGCAATGGACCCCAGGGGTGCCGGGGTCTTCTTCCCCCTGAGCAAAATTTGCGAGCCTGTAGGTTTAAAGGTTTCATGCGGCGATTCCGTCCCGCCGACGGAATCAACGGGCACGGACTGGGAACCGAGAGGCACTGCGGGGCATCCCGAAGATGGGGCAGGCAGCAGGGCACCAAAATGCAAGCGCGGACGCTGGGCTGCTTGAAGAGCTCAACAGCCTCCGGCGATTGGCTGCGTCCGGTTTTTTTTGTGCAGGGCTGGGGAAATGGAATCCACTTCTCTGATACAAAGACTAAATAAAGACGAACCCCCCATCCTATAAAGGGGGAGACTCCCCAACGCATCACAGAAGTGGTTGGGTTGTTGGCTCTGGGCTGCGTTGGGCTGTTGGGTTGGCTGTTGGGTTGTTGGGCTGGTTGGGCTGGTTGCGCTGGTTGGGCTGTTAGGATCATGGGCTGTTGGATACACCCCGAGTGATCCACCACAACCCGGTTTTTGGTTGTAGCCGCATGAGGATAGCTTAGGGGCGCGAAAGGCAACCACATAAAACAAATTCGCGGATCTCCCCGGTGAATCCCAGCTGCAACTACACTGGGGAAGCAGCCATATTTGTTTGCGCTTTTTTTTTTTTTTTTCTATGCAGGGGAAAAGGCATCACTGGGATTTATAGATTTACCAAAGTAGGGAACCCAACATATATATATATAATACAAATGTGTGGCGTTGCGTTTTAAAAAAAGGTGTAACGGATTCTCTCGACCAGAACGGCCCATCCACGTCTGAAACCTGGGACTTTGAAAGGGACGCCTCTTGGAGATTCACCACCCTAAGGCTCATGACCCTTACAATGCAGGCCCCCGGGCCCTCTAATGAAGAACCCGGTCCCCCCAGGGGCCCTTGAAAACACCCCATGTTGAGACCCCAAAAACCATCAGGAGCCTTAGGGCAAAACAACATATACATGTTCTGAAGAATGGCTGCGGAATGCGAGTTGAAACACTTCTTGAACCGTTTTGTGTTGGGTTCCGTAGTTGGCCACAAAGAGTTTTCGGTATCCCCCCTCCCAAAGAAAGCAAAGACGCACCCGCGACGAGCCCTCAAGCAGCCCTGCCCAACCCCACTCAACCAACCCCCCTGGCCTGAGCGCTCAGATTCCCGCACAAATGCACACCAGTCACCAGAGTGGGCCGGCCGATGCGCCGGATCTGGGCCTCCAAAGCTGAAAGCCCGTCCTGACTTGCAAAAAAGGCTGCTGCGATTGACTGGTGGGGTTCCACGGCAAACAAATTGTTGGTTCTACTAAAGCTGTGAGGTTCCAACAAATTGGAAATCCGCTGAAACGGGTCACTTTGAAACTGTCCCCTTTCTGAGGTCCAAAAATGCGCCACTGCACCCAGACAAAAGAAAACGCTGGCCTCATTCTTTTGCCGTCAAAGTCACCTAGGTCAGAGGGAAGCAAGGGCAGTTCCTGACTGTTTTACTGCCCAGGAATCGTCCAAAGATCCAACCTGGAGTCTCCATGACCCTAAAAAGTCATTGCCCAAAATAATGGGGGCATGAACCAATTTTTTGAGGGTCAGAAGGAGAGTCTAGGCAGAACTCGTACCAAGATCCTAGAAACTGGGACCTTCCGCTTCCCGTCCTTGGCCAGGATGTCTTGTTGCACATACTCCACACTGGAGATGCCCACCTGTCTCAGGAAGATGCCTTTTTTGGGTGGTCCAAAAAGGGAAGTCCAAGGGAAACCACCCTCGCTTTGATCCTTTTTGGGGGGTCCCCTAAATTTGAAATCGTGTAGGTGAACATCCAAAACTGACCCTAGATGCGATGTTGAAAAATAAGCCGCGCCTCGGCATAATGTGGCAGCTGGTCAGGCTTGACCCAATCCACCGCCGAGATCTGGAGCTTCGGGGCACGCGCGGCCAGCAGCAACGAGGTGAGCGACTTGCCGCAGCACAAATCCAGCACATGCCAATCCTGACCCTCCGCCAACACCTCAGGCTTCCATCGCTCGATCTCATCGAGGACACACAAAGACTCCGAGAGCTCTTTGTGAAAGCCGCGCGCCTTGTGAAAGACATGGAACTCAGGACGCATCAGGATCTGCCACGCGGTGTGGTTCCTTGGCGCCCAATGGCTGTTTGGCAAACAACTCTCATGCTTTTTGCGGATTGGCCCCGTTTTCTTGTGAGTCCGCCTTGTATGTTGTGTAATTTCAACTGAGTGACCCAGCCGAGTTTGGGTTGGGATTCGCAAAAGGGAACCCTCAAGCTGCGCATGAAATGCTGGCCGCGAATCAGGTGATACCGTTTTTCACCAAACCTGGGTGGTGCTTTTGTGTTCCAGGAACGGAACCCTCAACTTGAGCATTGGTGGAACAAAAAAAAAAACATCCCGGGAACGAACAGATTTAGCTTCTGAAGTGCCTGGAGTTTAGAATACTTTGTGGGAATTCGGAAGACCTATTGTGATGGCGCACAAAAAGCTTGGACTGCTTTTGGCCAACCCACGCAGGAAGTGAGACGAGGGGACCCCCAAACTGCTCAAAGCAGCCCGATATTTGGCTGACAAAAGTGCCCTCACGGTGCTTTTGAGATTTCTATCAAAATGCCTGTAAACCAATTATGTAGGCCTTGCTACCGGGCTCATCATATTATCTCTCCGCACCTTGCGTGGGGGAACTGGACATCTCGTGATATTTTTCGGGGGGACGTACCTGAAAATGGAAGTTCAGCTAAGTGTTCGTACATCCACAGTAGCACCTGTAGACGGGTCCCTGGAAGACCAGTTTCCTCTAAGTTTCCTGTATGTTTCTTGATTTCTGATGATTCCTCTGCAAATCCCAAACGGTTCCCCATGCTTCAAAGTGGAGAACCGACATGGATTTGACAAAATCCATAGTATGTTTCTGGGACGAGGGGCCCTCCTCACGGTCTCACGGTCTGTCCCTTGGCCTCTCGCCCCGCCCGGCCGGGGCACTGGAAGAAGCGCCGGACCAGCGGGTTCGTGTGGTGCCCAAGGCGGTACCGGTCCGCCAGGGAGGCGATCCTGGGCCTGAGCTTCGCCAAATTGGGAATCGGACGTAATTATTTTTGGAGGCGACCTGGAGTCTCCTTCTGACCCTTAAAAAATGGTTGGTCATTACCCAAAATAATTGGGTTATGGACCCATTTTTAAAGGGTCAGAAGGAGAGTCTAGGTACCCCTTTTTTTAAGCTTAGAACGGGAAGCCAAAAACAAAAAGCACTCATTTCGAACGGGACCCCTAAAACAAGACACTCCCAGGGAGTTTGACCCATGAATTTTGTTTGCTGGTAAAAAGGAAACTTGTGGGAGTCAAAATGGAGTTCGGTGTTCCTTTGTTGCGTAAAGAATCAGCCAAGGGCTGCCAAGCTGAAAAAGCAGCACCCCCCTCCCCCCAGCCCCCCCCCCCCCCGCCTCCCCCTCCCCCACCCCACATTTTCCTGTGTTTTCACAATTCCCTTCGAGGCCCTGTGATGACTGGGCAGCAAATGGCTCCACCCGGGGTTGCTCAATGACAAAACGTCGTGGCTCATTGAAAAAAAAAAAAACACATCTAGGTCCTCCAGTAGAGAGGTTAGCAGAAGGGCACCCTTTTTTCTGCATTCTAGTAGGGGGAACCCTCCCCCAAAAAAAGAGCAAACGGGCACTACTGCGAGACCTAGTTTTTAGTGAGACCATTCCAACTCGTCACCGTAAACATAGCAAGATTTGGGTGGCAAACCAAGCGGGTTGATGTTGCGGACCCCGCAAGCTGCTTTTTGGTGCTTTACGACAATGGTTGTGTAACGCTTTCTCGTAGCAAGCAGCACATCACCCTTTGGAATGTATGGGAACATCCGCGAGTTGTGACCCGTATGGGTCACAAAAAAGGGGTTGGGGGCACCTGTTTTCCTGATCCGCGAGCTGGCCACGGCCAACCCGACCGGTCGTCCCACTTCCGATCGGTAAGTCTCAACTTCTTGGTGTTAGCGTACTAAAATCTAAGGTAATTCCTATTAAGAATGAAAGTACACCCGAGAGACATTTCCCCAAGTCCCAAACAAACCAAAACCACCAGGCTAAAATAGGGTGATTCCCCAAAAGGTGTAACTCCCACGGTGTGATAGGAAACTAGAAATGGTCTTCCCATGTACCTAAATTCCAGGAGAGGTAAGACCCCTCACCGGTTCTAAAGTCCAACTCCGGAAACGGGAAATGGCGGTGGGTCAGAAAAAGGTACCCAAAATGGAACCCTGGGTGAATGGAATGGACTAAAACCTGCGGTCCCCTAGTGGTTTAATTTTGACCCACACCCAAATCGCATCAGTCGTCTCAGTTGCTTCCCCCGGTGTCCCAGGCCTGCGCATCACCAGAGCCCCGCAACATCGACACCTCTGCCGTGCGGTCTCCCGCACCTCAGCATAACGAGATGTGCATTTGTGGGTGTGTTGTCTTGAGGCTCGGTGCCCTTCTTGCTGTTTGTTTCTTGCGGAAAACCAAAGAAAGCCACAAAGCAAATGGCAATAGCAAATCCGCGGTGTATTGAAATTTCCTCATGCTTTGAGGAACTGCCAATCATGAATTTTGTCACGTACCGGGGAACCCGTTTTGCACAGGCGAGTCCATGTCCCAGGGGATTCTGATCCTGAGAATTTCATAGTTTTAGGAGTCTCCCATCTCAACGGAAAATAGAAGGGATGTTCCCAATTATATAGTGGAAACGATGCTGTTAGTGGGAATGAGGGTAAGCTATTCCAGAGGCGCTTAAAAAAAGGTCTGCTTGTTGAAAAAAACACTTCACCCCCGAGCGCGACCCCTATCTTGGCCGCACACGTCCCGACACCTAAATAAGGATGCGCCTCCCCGAATTTTCCTCACGACCCATTCCTGGGAAAACATTCCTCAACAAACACATGCACCTATTTCTCAAAGCGCCTCCGGAATAGCTTACCCTCCTTCCCACTAACAGGGAACATCCCTTTTGGCTTCTTGTGTGAAATTCCAAACGATGGGCTATGTGGGATCCAAAGAATACATAGCTTGTGACTCCCCTTCCGCAGGATTCCAACAATAGACTACCGCACGATTTTTCAGTTGCTCACCTTGTTGGAGTGAAATCCCCTGCGAAGCGCCTCAAGGGCCCGAGCCTTCTGACAAGGCTATGCAAAACCTTCTGCACTGGACTTTCTGTGAAGGGAATTGGCCGTCTTAGCGCCTCTCAGAAAGCCCACTGGGGACTCCACTATTGCGCCCTTCATTCCCCAACAAGTTTCCAGCTATAGCGAGGGGAATCATTCCCAACCAGAATTCTACGGTAGCTTCCCCATTCTTTCCAGGGATCCTTCTTTCTAGAACACCACCAAAGAAGCACCCCTAGGTCCTCCAGTAGAGAGGTTAGAATCCGGGTTCCTCACAACCCTTTCCTTCCTGTGCTGGATTTCGCGGAAACTTTGGCTTCCGGGCCTCCTCTCTCGCCAGGCTCTCGAGCCGCTTCGCCAGCTCATTCCTCGGCTTTCTAAACGTCGGCTATGGTCGGCAACCGCCAACCGAGCTCCTTGCAGACCAAATGGCCATGGGTGAAAATCCAAATCGTCCCAGTGAACATTCGATTCAATCCAACCACTAAAATAGGCTCTAAAATGAGTCGTGAATTCACCTACCCCAAAATGGGATCCCATTGGTTTTGACCCAAAATGGGTTGGGGGGACTGCAACAGTCACAGTTGGTGCTGGTCCAAGCACAAAAACCAAAGAGTATCCCAGTGGATCCAAGCTACCACTGTAAATAACTAGCCATGGTCCTTTCAGTGTTAGGGTGGTTCCCAGAGTTACCTGGCATACTGTGGATGGTTGCGAATCCATTTCGCACCACCTAAGAAACCCTGGTTTCTGATGATTTTCCTGTAAATACCAACCAACAATGGTTTCAACCATGGATTCCAAGTAGTGCGAAATGGATTTCGTCCATCCACAGTACTGGAAAAAATCACATCACTACCTAGACTCTCCACGACCCTTAAATTATGGGTCCATGATTCCATGATCCCATTACTTGGGGTAATGACCAACCATGTCTTAAGGGTCATGGAGACTCTAGGTACGCACGGCTTGGCCAAAACTCGCGCCCCTCGCCGCCGCGTACTCCGCCGCCGTCGCTCCGCCGCGGCTCCGAGCCGCCGCGCCCACGTGGGCGGCCTGCGGTCGAGGCCGCCACAAGCGCCCAGCCCGTAGCGAGGTGAAGCGGGTCTCCTTCCCCTTTTGGAAGCCGAAGGACAAGTGACTTGCCAGCATACTTTTCGTGCATGGCCTTATTTTCAACATGGATCATAGAACCCAAAAATTCAATCGAGGGCACTGAAAAGAAGCTGGTGGTTGCTTGTTTTGGATGTTTGGCCTGACTTGTGTTCGTGGGGAACCACCAAAAAAAATAACGATCTGGGGGGGTGCCACTGAACACATGGAGCCCCTTCGCGTGACATGCAGCTTGGGGCGGTTTGCGGGGGGGGGGGGGGGGGAAGGGGCTACTGCGTAGCCGCAGCACAGGTCGGTTTTCAACACAACGCTGGCTCCCCGAAACGCACGAACGGCAACTCACGCCTTCCCAGGCTCGATACGCGAACTATTGCAATGCACCCCCTCCATTCATGGAAGCTGACAGACGGGTTTTGGCAGACGTTTCCTTTTGGGGAAGCCCCTGTTCACTTACATGATGGGACAGCGAGTCCCTGCAATTTACGCGGATTTCGTTGGTTGAGGTTGCTTGCAAATAGAGAGCAGCACCGTCTTCACTCCGATCCCCAGGGAACCAAATTGCAAACATGGGGCTCCCTGTACTTCCCCCATAACCACTCAGGACGAACACATCTTCACGTCCAAACTCGAAAGGAAAAAGCAGGGACCAATACGCTACACACCTTTAGATGAACATGAGGTTACGAGGTTCATGACACCCTCAAACATGCCCACCTACCAGCTTCGTTGGTTCATCAATAAGGCTCCGTTCACGGGAGAATCCTTTCTTTAGGGGGGGGGACACCTCCGTATTGATACAGGTTGATTCATCGATAGGCTTGTGTACTTTATCACCAAAATGATTTCATGATCATAGAGGCAACATCTTAGGTATGTGTCTCTTACTATCAGACCCAAGCCCTGCGCCAAAACTCGAGAGATAAAACAAAGGACAGCCTTGCATACGCATTATCAACCCATGTTCAATGCTCCTGCTAAACAAGGCATGACCATGGTCCATCACCACAGCCCTCGCATGAGTAGGTGGCTTGTTCAGCCATTGCTAAAACAAATCACTGCTTTTCTGATATCAAAGCGGTTGACCCCCATGACTAGTTGGTCCTTTTCAATGGGATGTTTAATGATTTTTGCATATCACAGAAACATATCCTCATCCACTTTCGGTGCTCTTTCTGATTCTCATTTGAACCAACCTGAAAGAAAAGCCCAAATAAGTAAGACAAACAAACAATCCTTTCCACTGGAGAGACCTTTGTACCAATTCCTTCCGTTTAAACCACAAGGATGCCCCAGCCATCTGGGTGTGGGTCAAAAATTGGGTACCAAAATGGATTAAACACCCTGGTAAATGGAAACAAACAAGGACTAAAAGCTGCGGTCCAATTCCTGGTGGTCTAATTTTGACCCACACATTTAATTCACATCCGGCCGACCCACACGCCCCACGTCCAGCTCGCTCCCGCGCTTCCGCGCTTCCGCTCCGCCTTCGCCTCGCCCAGGCCGGCGAGTCGCGCGGCCACTCGCCGGAAGACGCGGCCCGTGGCCCCCGACGCCAACATCAGCGGGGTGCAGTCGCGACGCCGTGAGCGCAGGCGGAGGAGCCTCCGGGCGTTTCCGGACTTTCCGGCCAAAAGGAGGCGCTGTTTTGCTTTCTCAAAATGGAGTTCACAACAGGACGGGCTTTCTGTGCTTCTTGGTTTTGTCTTTTTTCATGAATTTTATTTCTTGAATTGTTTTCTGCGAAATCGTGTTTGTTTGGGGCTTGCTTTTTTGAGCTGAGTTTTTCCCGAGTCCGAGATTGTTTGTTTTGCCCTTTTGGGTTTGCTTCACGTGGTACCTATTCCCTGAATGGACGGTACTCATGATCCTTTCGGTTTCATGCGAAAACCTAATAAATTTAGGGTACACCCTCAAGAAAAAGAGCCAAATAGGAATCGGCCATTGGTCTTGATTCCTGTTCCATTCCCACATGCGTGATAGGGATACCTTCCCCATTCTGAACCCAGGGAGCCTTCTTTCTAGAAAACCTCCGAAAACAAAGGGAAACGGATCTGGTTTTTTGAAAAGAACAATGGTTAAACAGCATGGAATCAACCCCCATGTATACATTGATCCAATTTCGGGGTTGATTCCGATCCAATTTCGGGGTTGATTCCGCTCCAAGAGCCATATATTTTCGCTGCTCAAAGTGTAGGGCTTGGTTCCAACCATTCTTTTCAAGCATCGTTCCTTTGCGAGACCCGCCTCTTTCCCCCGAGTTTTTGCTCGCAAGAACTGGGAAAGAATGGAAGAATGGGGAAGATGTTTGGTTTCCTGAATACCTGGAGTCTCCTTCTGACCCTGAAAAAATGGTTGGTCATTAGATTCGGATCCCTGAAAATGGGGAAGCTCCTAGAGAGATTGCCTTTTCGGCATTTGTTTCTCTCACGCAGTGCGGGCTTTCCGCTGCCGGGAATGCGCCCCTAGCACAAACCGGAAATAAGGGATCCCCAAGCAAGGGACTTTCACCGTGGATGAGCTTGTTTTACAAGCAGGCAAGTAAGCTCCACAAATATGCCCAGCCCCTGTGAATTTCTGGTGGCAACATTGTCGGTCACTCACACAAGGAGAATTGAACATGGCTCAAATCTAGCGGATGGCCTAGACATTTCAAGCAAATCAGCCAGGAGTTGCCTTCCACGGTGTCTTCAGATTCCCAGTGGCCTTACCCAGGAGAAAAGGGCACTGGGCAAAAAGTCAGACGGTCCAGCGTTCCCCAACCCCTGGCCTGGACACGTCGCCGCTGTCCAGCACTTCCAACGCCCGCTCCTCGTCGCCTGCCTCCAGCGCTCGAAGCAGTGCATCGTCGGGTGCACCGCGCGACAGCCTCAGCTGCCCGACTCAGAATGAGAACTCTTTTTGGGACCCGTTGAGCAAATGAGGGAAGCAACACAAAAAGGAAACCATTTGGGTAGGACGGTATGACTTGTTTTATGGGGACCTGTCCGTGGATATCATGTTGGATATGAGTGTAATTGGGGACCTTGCATCATGTATTATGCTTGTGCGGTGGTGCGGTTGCAGGTTGGCTTGGTTGCGTTGGCCAATTTCGGATATTCGCCTTAATGGCCTTCTTGGCGTTGTTTGTCAACTTGTTTCGACGCTCAATCTTCCTGCCAGTTGGCCAAGTCCAGGTACCCAACCGGAAAATCATACGGCTAGGGATGTGTTTGCACAGTTGTCTTGGCTTGCTTGGCGACTCAACCCTGCTGTCAGTTGTTCATTTGTAACAGACATAATACCCCCATGATCAGAAGGTGTATCCGTTCTAACAGTGCCCTACGAGTCCATTCTCTAGGCCCTCATGGAAAAACACTCAATCTTGCTCTCCCAGATCGTCATTTCTACGGAAAAGCTTTGAACAAAGTTTCCAAGTTGAAGCTGCCCTTCCTGGGCTCCCCAAGCTTGGGCCAATGTCTCGAATCCGGCAGATGGAGGAGCTGCATGAAGCAAGCCCAGAGGGGCATTCAAAGCTGCGTACCCTCCCGACGATTCCATGGGTTTGTGCACAGCCCCTAGAAAAACGACTTTCCTCTTAGTCGGCTTTGTGCACAAACCCGTGCTAGGTGGGAGGGTCGCACGCGAAAGCAACCCCCTCTCATTAAAAAAAAAAAACAACTCCAAGGAGCTTCAGGAGAGGCTCGGGCATTGACATGCGCGTAACACACGGCTCATCATTAACCACTCGGGGCCAAGCGGCGGCTTCTCGACGGGCGCTTTCGGGAGCTCCCCGAGCCATGCGACGTTCACCGCCAGCGCCAGCCCGGCCAGCGCCAGGCGCCAGAGGCTCATGGCTTGGACTCGGAACCGAGACGCGCGCGACCTGATGAGGAAACGCGCGAAGGAAGGCGGTGGTTCTGTGCTTAAATAACCACAAATCAGTAGGATTGGGCTTCATATTTTCAGTTTTAAACAAAAGCCCGATGATTGCACGAGAGCGGTGGGCGCTGTGTGTGGGGGGGGAAAGAGAGCCAACATGAAAAGCTGGCAGATAGTCCCGAACATACTTCACATAGCCCACTGGCCACTATTTTCCCCGCCCTCCACCGGCGTGAGGCTTTCGAGCAAAAAACAGCTGCCTGAAATGCAAAGAGCCCGGTGGATCCAAATTTCCGCAAAGGAAAGTATACCAGCCATAGGTGTCCTTTTAGGGGAAATAGATGGCCCTAGTAGATGATTCAACCACCAGGTAAGCCAGGGCCATTTACTTTTCGGGCAAAACAACCAAAAGGACACCTATGATACCAGCCCCATTTTCCTTGCCGCTCTTAAAGGTTGGTTCCCTTCCCGTGAAATCATTGGGTAGAGCAACAAGTGGCTATGAACACTTAAGCGGTGACCCTTTGGTGGATATCAGTTAGGACAATGTGTGTGATGGTGGATATCACTTAGGATAATATGTATGATCCATGGCACAACATGAAGCTTCATATGAGAGAGCCCGCATTCTCTAAAGGTGCATGATCCACCAGTATTCCTCATGCGCAGAATCCGCAGCCCATGAAGGTATTCCAGTATTGCAGCAGCAAGCGCACTTGCTGAGGCCCTGACGGATAAAGGGAATCCTGAGGCAACTCTCATTCTCTCTATATATATCTCTTTCCTTGGCCTAAACCTTTCCTGAGGTACATGAGGTAAACCTTTCCTTTCTATATCTCTTTTCTGAGATATCCCTCTCTTTCCTTGGCCTAAACCTGGCAACCTGGGGTACCGCAACAAAAAACGCCATACTTTCAGAATCTAGAACACTTGCTCCGTCTACCCTGACACATACACCAATTTTTCAGGAGACGCTCTCTGTCTCTGTCTCTGTCTCTGTCTCTGTCTCTTTCTCTGACTCTCTCTCTCTCTCTCTCGCACTCTCTCTCTCTCTCTCTCTCTCTCTCTGTAAACATCTCTCTGTAAACGTCTCTCTGTAAGCGTCTCTCTGTAAACATCTCCGTCAACGCCTCAAACACATCCAGGGCATCGGGTAATCCATGGGAGTACAAAGGCCCTCTCTTAAAGATACGGTATCTACACGCCACAGATACACCAAGAAAAGGGGTCCAGCCGTCTGCGCAACCAAGGGGGGGGCAAGGCAACTCTTGTCAGGGCTGGGCCAACCGAATGGTTGCATGATATATCATGTTGTAGCCACTCTTTGTAAAAACATCCTCATTGAGGTTCTCCTTTTTAGAGATCCGTTTGCGTCTGGTTGTTCAACCCTCACAGGCTGCCTTTGAGCGATTGGGGTTCTCTGCTGGAGGGCCATGCATTGGTGGGATGATGGAAGGGGTACAATTGCACTTGCTTGAAACTCGAAGTGTGGTTTGGGACAGGTGCAAAAGACAAAAGCGTGCTTTGCAGATGTAGCATGCGAGCAACCAGCATCCGTGGCTTTGGTCTCTGCTGCTCGGATGTTGATGTTTTCCGAGAAGGATCCCAAGAACATTGAATTTCACTGGGCCCAAAACGGCTTGCTCCCAAGCTTCCTCAACATGGTTGCTTTCAATGTGCGTTCCAGCAGTCTTTTTTTCTTATTCAGGAGAGACATTGGCATGTGTTGCTTCTTGGGACGTTACTTGTCACTCGCAAGGAGTGTCCGTGGGTGGCGTAGCGTGCTCAACGGGAAAGTGAAGCCCCGGGTAACTCACCCATTCTTCATTCATTGAAAAACAATCTGTCAAACACGATGAAAAACCGGGGAAGGCTTTTGAACATAACAATGGTCAATCACAATGGAAAGGAATCAGCTCCTGAACTGAGCATTTATCATGGGTAAGCTTGTGACCCTTCACTTAGGGCAATGGATTTGTTACAACCTATACATAATTTCGCTCTCGGGTTCCTTTCCTGGAATCATCCTTCGATCCCCGTCCCCAACTCGAAATCGCGTGGCGGACCCTCTCCACAGAAAGGGAACATGTGGGAAGGCGGGTCTTCTTCCCACGATTCCCTTTACGAAAGCTTGATGAGCACCTCTGGGCACATCAGAAAGCCGATTCTGCAAAATGGAACCACCCCCTTTTTGGGGAAACAGGATCATTCCTGATATTGACCCTTGGTAACCCCCCCACTTTAAATCCAGGGGGTCTCTTTTTAGTGGCGACTCATTGCTTCCAAGCAGGGCCTCCTCTAGTCATAACTTTGTTTTCTTAATCAGGGCTCAACAAATTTAGCCCGCTGCCATGGATATACTGGGCACGGACCAGCACCAAATCAGCTTGAGGGCCCGAGCTAAGAGGCACTCCGAATGCAGGGCTGTGGAATCCCATGCCGCCTGGCGGCATGTCTGGGAAATAGATGGCTATGATTCTTATGAAGGGACCCTTTGGTGGACATCTTTTAGGTGGGGATTCCTGTCCGCCAATCACTATTGAGATGGTTCCCTATGAAAATTCATGGCCAGGTAATCCGCCGACAGTGTCGGATACTTAAGAGAGGATAGGGGATAACCCCCCCCTAAGTCTGATACGTAGGCGTTCCACTAAACTCAGTCTTCGGGGTCGCAAAACAGGGGTCTCAGGCTCGAATCCCCCTGCCGGCTCTTTGCTGGTTTGGGTTTTCTGCCTCCTTTTGCCGAAAATCTGAAAAACTCTGTGTTGTTTGACATCATGTTTACGAAAACACTGGAAACACAGTGTGTTTTTGCGGGAAAATACTGGGGAGCAAAGGGGAAATGCAAGGAAGTGCAAGGAAATGAGGGGAGGAAATAGGAAGTGGGAAATGAAAGGGAAACAAAGGAGAACTGAAAGGGACATGAAAGGGACAGAAATGAAAGCAAGGCGATCGCAGGGGGAATGAAAGGGAAACAAAGGACAAGGAAACCAATCGACACGACGGGAGATGTGGGGAAATGACTGGCAACGAAAGAACGGGACATACGTGGAAGCGGACATGCCGAGAAAATGACGGGGACATGAAGGGGGAGTTGAAAGGAATGGAAGGGACATGGTCAGGACATCATGGGAAACGTGAAAAGGACATGCAGGGAAATCAAGGGGAAAGCCAGTAGTATGCAGACAGTTCAGGGTCATGAAGGGGCAGCGGGGGGACGTGACGCTGCAACGCAGAGAGAGAGAGAGAGACAGAGAGAGAGAGAGACACAGAAAGACAGACAGAGAGCGAAAGAGAGAAAGAGAGAGAGTGAGAGACTAGGTCCTCCAGTAGAGAGGTTAGAATAACGGTACTTTTTTTCTGTAGAGAGGCGTGGACAGGAAGGAGACAGGGAGACAGAAAGAGAAAGAGAAACCGAGAGAGAGAGAGAGAGAGAGGCTTGGGGGGATGGGGAGGATGGGGAGCAGAGGGAGGGAGAGAGGACGACGGAACATACGGAGAGAGATAGAAAGAAGGAGACAAGGGAGAGGACAATGTCTGAGCCGGAGGCTCTAAAGTTTTCACTGGATGAGCCAGTCCACCTCGCCTAGGCTCACCATCATCCATGTACAACGCCTTGCTTCCCCCCCCCAAAAAAAAAACAAGGGCCATGGCCAAGTCCCGAATTGGAGCAGGTCGTTTGCGAAGCCTCAGTTTGTCCGCGGTCCCTGGGCCAAACCCAACTGCCATGCAAGGCCTGGAGCCATGTCTCGCCCAACCCAAAAACGTCCAACCAACCTAACCAACCTAACCAACCCAACCAACCCAACCAACCCTGAGAAGCTCCACAAAGCCTACAAACCCCAACAAGCAAACAAAAACAACCCCAAAAGGCAACAACAGGCAAACCAAAACCAACAAAAATAAACGAAACGCCAAAAAAAACACCAAGTGCGAAAAGCAAAACGCCTAGCCTCAAAGCCCGGGTCCAAGTAGTCTCTGCGCACGTACTTCGCATAAAAGAAAGACAAGGTACACCCTCATAAGATACTTGCGCCCTTAGAACAAGGTACTGGACCTACAGGGCTTGGTATGTCTCGGCCAGGGAACCTGAACCCTTGATCACATGCCAGCGATCACGCCTTGGACAGCTCCGGCGAAGGGCTCGCAAGGGCCCTCGACCTGTCGAACTCCATGGTTTTTCTCATGGGCCTTTGGTTGTCCTTTGGTTTCCTCAAGAATGCCACAGTCTTTGGCTTTCTCCACCATCTCTGCTGGACCTCGTCAACCTCAACCGGCATCGCATTCGCAGTCTTCTTGTGCGTGCCATTCGGATAATTTCCATGCGCGGACTATCGCCTCGCACATGGCATTGGTATCTGTACAGACCCCCCCCTCCGTAGGCCCAAAGTGCTAGGCCATCCATTCAGTCTCCCCTTTCGCTCAAAAGCGTCGCCATTTGGGCGGTGATTTCCACCAGGGGCAGAGTAGATGCCACCAGTCCAGAAATGACAAAACCTACACGCAGCGGTTGTCCCATCTACTTCCACCCAAATATCATGCTTGTTGGTTTGATAGGCAAGAAATGAAGGGAATAATCCCCCTGAACCATACCCCCTTCCGATTCATTCTCACAACCCCTCCAACAATTGACTGGCAACCAGCAAGCATTTGGCCCGCATCGGATGAAAGTAGATGGCACAAGGATCTTGTGCCATCTACTCTCTCTTCCGCGGATTGGTCGGAAAAAAGTCCAAACCTTTGGCTTGCCACCAAACTGGTCTTTCCAAAAAGTAGAAATCTCAGGAACTCGTGAACATAGGTGGCCTTTCTTTCCTTTTGGGAAAATAGCCTGGTAAATGGAATGAAACCCATCTAACCGAACAGGGACCCTTACATTCTACACCTGAACATTGCCTTGGAAATTGTGGTTTCCTTTTATTTTGGTGTTGAAAAAGCCACATGTTTCAAATGGTAGCAAAATGAATTTATTTTAAGGAGCCCTGCCAAACTAAATTAAAAACGGACATGCTCATGAGACTGGCGCACCTCGGACTCACAAAGCTGAGGCTCCCTGCGGGCAGCGGGTGGATGGGGTCTCCTGGGTCCCAGAAGTCCACGAAAAAACGCAGGCCACTTGGTTGCTGCAACGACCCCCCTGCAAAAAGTGTTTTTTGTTTATAACTTTTTCGGGGTTTAGTAGAAAACACCTTTATTTCAACCAAAAAGTTAAAGTCTACAGATCCAACCCAATAGCAGAGGCCAGGTCCAATAAACCCCCAGTGGCCATGGGATTTGCTTCGGCCATGTTGGTTGATTTCTGAGGGGACTAAACAAAAAGGACAGCGCGAAATGCCCCGTCCCAGTTTAGCGGAAAATATCTCAGTTATGTGGGAGACATCCCCAACTTCGTCTGCAGGGTATACCAATTTGGGGGTCGCATTATTTCAATCACATTGATGTATACATATTTCATCATATGTTAACCGCGTAATCCATGGCGTGACATGCATGGAAAACTCTCCTGGTTTGGTTTGACTTCTGCCCAACATGCTGCCAAGGTTCAAGGACTGGAAATAGCATTTCCGCTGGCCTTCAGTCAATCGCCTGTTTATAGCAGGCTTCCCTTCGGGGTCCGGTGGGTCAGGTTGCAGAGTGAACTGCGGCCCGATGTTGGTTCTAGATGTCCATGAAGGCTTGGATCAGCCTTGCCAATATTTCAAGCAAAAGAGCTACCTAGACTCTCCATGACCCTCTAAAAATGAGTCCATGACCCCAATTATTTTGGGTACTGACCAACCATTTTGTAAGGGTCAAGACTCCAGGTACCCCGACAAGGCAGGCCGGCCACATTTGACACCACGCTTTTTGGCATCGTAAGTCTGTGTTCTTTCTGGGAGCCGGGGGACGTGCGAATAAAAAACAATAGCCCAGCCTCCCACGGTCTGGCACGTACAAGGAGCTCGTTCGTTCATCTCTTGGCAGAGAACCAACGTCAACCTGGAGTCTCCTTCCGACCCTTAAAAAATGGTTGGTCAGTACCCGAAATAATGGTTGGTCATGGACCCATTATCAGAGGGTGGAGAGTCTAGGAACATGTGCCATCAACATACACAATTTCGTTCGTACGCGTCGCCGGCAAACTCCCTGGCTTTACTTACAGCCCCGCAAACTTGCAAACGCTGCTAGTTCGCGCGCTGTGGATACTATGCACTCTCCACTTGCCCATTATCTTCAAGTGGGATTTCAGTTTTTGGCGCTGCTGATTTGCGAAATACAATAAACAAATGGGTCAGCTCGTGGATTGTTATGACTACTTAAGGAGCTAATGTACTTAGTAAGGGGGCACCTGATTACAGCCCATTTTACCCCTATAGGTCCCTTTTCCGGGTCGGTAAGAGCCTTTCGCAAGGGTCTGCCCAAACGTGCTTTCGCCAGGGTTTTGAGGGTCGGAACAGCTCTAACTGAACCATAAGCTAGTAGGTAGGTCATCTCCACTTAAAATTGCATCACCTAAAAAAAGTGCGCTTTTTCTACTTAGCTGGTCACTTGGCAACTGGGTCGAAGGCAACCAACCAACCAAACAAACACCACCCAGCCACCCAGCCACCCACCCACCCACCCAACCAACCAACCAAACAACCAAGCAAGCAAGCAAGCAAGCAAGCAAGCAGCCAAGCAACCAAGCAACCAAGCAACCAAGCAACCAAGCAACCAAGCAACCAAGCAACCAAGCAACCAAGCAAGCAAGCAAGCAAGCAAGCAAGCAAGCAAGCAAGCAAGCAAGCAAGCAAGCAAGCAAGCAAGCAAGCAAGCAAGCAAGCAAGCAAGCAAGCAAGCAAGCAAGCAAGCAAGCAAGCAAGCAAGCAAGCAAGCAACCAAGCAAGCAAGCCAAGCAAGCAACCAAGCAACCAAGCAACCAAGCAACCAAGCAACCAAGCAACCAAGCCGAAACGCCGGCAAAAAAAACCGCTGACTGTGGGTAGTCAGGATCAGCTAAGCAAGAATGTCATAGATGTTTCTGGTTCCTTGCTCCCATACTCTTATCCATCAAGAGCTCCCTTCACTTTCCATGTTGCACGCCCCCAAAAGTGGCAGATGAGTCCTTCATCAGACTATCCTCCAGTAGAGAGGTTAGAATATGGCTACCAACCTCTTTTTTCCGTATAGTCTCTTTTAGTAGGGGACACCCTCCCCCCAAAAAAAAAGACATATCTTTTTTCCCGGCGTCTATTTTAGCAGGGGACCCCCTCCCAAAAAAAAAAGGAAACGGAAAAAAAGGGCACCAATTGCTGGGGGACCTAGACCCATCCGAACCTCCAGACTTCGGCGGTTCCGAGGGGCCCGGCCGTGATGCGCCGCGGCTTCAGCTCGGGCCGGAGCTTCTCAGCCTCATGAAGTGGACATGGCGGTGGGTCAAAATGAAACCACCAGAAAACCGCAAAAGTTTTGGCCCTTGGTGGCATTTACCATGGCTTCATTTTGGGTACCTATTTTTTGACCCACTGCCACATCGAAATCGGGCGGCTTGGGCCCCGAAGTTGGGTTGCCCCTGCAGCAACAAGCAGATCCAACTGGAACTCATGCTGTGAAATTTATTTAACAAAACAACAAAAAAAACAAGCTGCTTCATTTGCCGCCACTTGCTTTCCCCAAAGGGGAAATATATGGAACCTCTGGCAAAATGCGGACCGAGCGGTTTGCGGGATCCATGATGTCCATGTACCCGACATCAATCCTCTTATAAGTTGCTAGAAGTGACAAGCCGGGAATTAGGACATTAACCCAACCAGAAAAGGCACCCTCAAAAAATACACACACAAAAACACAAAATGATTGTGTCCGATTCACACATCAGGGATAGTCAGAACAAAGCGACCTGAACATCAGGAGTACCTCCACGATGGGCGAGCTCGATCTGTTCTAAACCCGGTGAGCTCATAATGTTGTGCTGGTCGGGTTTCGGTGGCACATTTTTTTTTGGCAAAAGTTGGGGATAAACGGGCTCAGCCATCCCAAATGGTGCAGGATTTTGTCTATCCACCCTAGTCATGTGGGTTCCTGCCAATTTAGGTCCCCAGATAGGTCGCCCCATAGCAAAAGGGCTTTCAATGGCCCTGTTACAAGTACAGTAGCAATGATCTACCTCCAAACAGAACACAGGGAACTGCAAAAGGGCCAAACAACCGCGCAGTCTGCTGGCGTTCCCTCTGCGGTCGGGCCTTGTCGATCTCACATCTATCATTACTTCAAGTAGATATGCGGACTCATGCAATGTCGTACACTTATTTAATTTGTTGGAAAATGCCCCGTATACCTATTCTTATTTCCATCCACATACCAAAATTACACAAACATGAGGGCATGCTTATGTACAAATAAACCCACATACGTATAAATATGTCTGTGTGGTTATGTATGCACGTATGCACACTCACCGACCAAACAAACCCAGGCTGGCCTTAAGGGAAAGCAACACAAAACAGGTCCCGGTCGTTTGGGAAACACCTATACTGTAATAAGTTGTGCCTGCGGTCAATACCCCATCTATGGACGATGTTGTCATAGTTTCTTTGACTGCAAACCTTATGCAGGTCTTTGTTGGCCGTTCAAGAACTCAAAGCTAAGTTGACTTAAACATTATTGGGCCTTTAAGACGTGATGAAAGAACCGTTCATCAGCAAGTTCAAAGTTTTGGCTGACATGTCCAGTTGACTGGCCAGACAATCGCCGCTATAAAGACCTTGCTCAAATCATGAACCAATTGCCAAACAACTGTTGAAACAATGGTAAATTGACCGATAAGCGATGATGCAATTGCCCTCTCACCAACAAACATAAAAGTGCACAGGCCCTCTGGAAGACTACTGCCCTTTTGGAGGACTTCCAAACTTGCGGTGAAAGGCTGTCCTTTCACTAACTGCTCAGGACCATAACATATAAGGAAACCATCATATATCCTTTGTCAAAGCTCTAAATGGCGAGATGCGCGTCTTTCTTGAGGGTCCCCCTTTTTTGGTGGTTTTAGGACAACGTCCACATTTTTGTTTCCTTGGGGGGGGGGCTTCCCCCCATATCCGATATAGCACTTGTGGCAGTCCGACGCCACGAGGACACCCTTCCAGAGACCTCCTGTGGATTCAATGGGACAAATGGCCGCTGTTTGCTCGGTTCACTGCTCACTTATCTCGGGTGCTTTCTGCTCCCCTGCTAAAAGTTTAACTTTTAGTGGTTTAATACGGAAAACCCATCAGTTGGCAACAAGTTAAAGTCCTAACATCCAAGCAAAATGCAACAAAGTTAAAAGGGCACCATGAAAAGGGCAACACCTGTGGGTTGATTGACTTAAAAACGAAATCCACGCGTTGCACGACAAATGAGCGCCGGTATAAACCGAGCACTTTTATAAGGAGTATATGCTGCCTTACAAGCTGTTTTCCGTGGCTTCCTGTGACCACTGTAGCTTTCCAGCAATCTTCCATTTTGTGTTTGTGAAGGGTGGTTTTCTTGGTTCCTACTGAGAAATGCAAAATCTGTGGGTTCTGTTTGATGTATACCTGAAGTCTCCTTCTGACCCTTAAAAAATGGTTGGTCATTACTAATTACCCCAAAATTATGGTTGGTCATGGACCACATTACTAATTACCCCAAAATAATGGTTGGTCATGGACCAAACAATTTCAAGGGTCAGAAGGAGAGTCTAGATTCGGAAGCTACGCCCCCGCAGCCCTTCCTTTGAACCTTAGGAAGCCCAGCTCGGTGCCGCTTGCGCCAGGGAGTGTCGCGGCAGGACCTCGTGCGCCGCGCAGACGGATCAGCACCACAGACCTTCTTGAGAACATCGATGGCCCGGGAAAAAAAACAAAAAACTGAAAAACCACCAGGTCAACCCAACAGAAACGCACCTGTGCACACATGCAATGACCATCGGGTCCAGATTTTCTGGCGCCCCGGCCAGGTAGAGATGAGGTTCCCAAAATAGGGAGTGGGCCGGCCTTGGACCCTGTACACCACCACCATTTTGAAGACTGTTTTAGTCATTGATCCAAATGGTCATAATCACAAAGGCAAGGTACAATAATTATCATGGTTCACTTGCCCCGAAACGGGGTGGAGCCTAAAAACAGGCACGTTTCTTCTGGAAGCGTCCTCAGCAGCGCACCCTGTCCCAACCAACCTGATTCCCACAACCCTGACCCGACCAGGAGTTTGTGGAAACTCCGGGACTCCCAAAATGGCCGGGGTTGTTTTGGTGTCATGGTAAGGCCAACCCAAAAGGTGGTCAGTTTGGCTGAAATACCCCAATTGGTTGGTGTCCAGAGGAGAGCCGTAGCAGGAGGAGACAAGGGGAGTTCATGGCGCTGAATGGCTCCGAATGGCTACGAATGCCCAGACTCTCCATGACCTTTAAAAATGGATCCATGATCCCATGATTTTGGGTAATGACTCCATTTTTTAAGGGTCATGGAGACTCCAGGTAGTCACAAATCGTCGAACAGTTCCGTTCCTAATATTCTCTGTTGGGCTGCAATGGCTCTCCTTGCAATGGCCCCGAATCAGAGTACTGCAGCGAAGGGAAACCATCCATCTGACTGCCCAATTACCCAACAGCCCTGACAGAACCCTTTTTAGGCGGAACTTATTTGCAGTGGGGCAAACCGCCAAACAGAAAGGATTCAGGAGGTTCGGAACAACCGACGGTCGTCAAGGTTGATGGTTCTTGAAAAAGGAAAACCGGAGGAAACTATTCCCAACCTCCCCCCCCCCCCCTCGAGGTTTCGTAATCCCTCGGGCGACCCTACGTGGCCCCCTTGACATCTTCTACCCATCAGTCCGATGTGCCACTGCGGCACACGACACGCAGACAACCCTACAAGAGTCTATGCGCACTCACCAAAAGACCGGCCTTCGGACAGGGGCCCCTTTTTTAGGATGCCCTTGGGTGGGAACTCTGACTTGGACAAGCAAATGGAAGCTACCCTAAGCAAATGGAAGTTAAGCCTTGGGGTTCCCCTTGGGCTCAAAGGGAAATCAACGGAAGCCACAGGCGGGGGGTCGGGGGAACGTGGGGTGATCGCCCTAAGACCAGCGCCAACGCGCGTAGGAGGGCGGCTTCACAGCGCCCCAGCCACCCTCCTGACCGAGGCGACACAAGTGGGACGCCGGGCGTGCCCAAGGCGTCTTCACTTGGGGATGTGCTCAAAATGGCGGTATCCAATTTCAACAATTGGTGTTTTTCAGGTTGGTTTCCCTGAAAAAAGGGCAACGAGCCCTGAAAACAAGACACACCCACTGGTTGCTCGAATAAGCACGAAGAACAAGAACAGTACAGTGCTTTGCTGTTGTTCCCCAAAATGCCCAAGAGTTCTCATGCGTTAGCGGCCCCGCATGAGAAGCATCACCCAGTTCGTCTTGGCTGCAGGCCGGCAGGCGCTTTGGACACATTTTCAGCATGACTCATGCCTCTGGAGTCTCCTTCTGACCCTTAAAAAAAGGTTGGTCATTACCCAAAATCATGGGGTCACCCTGATACAAGGTTGGTCATTACCCCCCCAAAAAAATGGGCTCACCCATCTTTTCAGGGTCAGAAGGAGACTCCGGGTGGGTTCTGTTCCATTGGCCCGGGCATCGGTGACTCCCAGTTCGCGAAATGCGCGAAAGCGCTCAGCACAGGGAGCGGTCACAGAAGACCGCTTCGCAGTTCGGCAAGTAGCGCCCCAGCACCTTGGGCCACAAAATTGATGAGACGGTGGTGAAAGCAGGGTTGGTACGTTCACCCCAGGAACAATCAAACGCCATCTCTTTCGCCTTTTGTTTTCTTCAAAACAACAAACCTGCGCTATCTTTAGAACCTAGCAATGTAACCCCAAAGCTCCGGTTCTATGCTAGAAGGGTTTGTTGTAAAGGAGCCAGGCTTTCCAAAGCAATGGCCAACGTGTCTTCATGGTGACCATCTGGAATTTGTGCTCCTGTCATCCCTCGTCAGCTATCGTCCGAATGTCAGCCTATCTCACACCGGGCCTGTCTTTAGTACCTCAGCTTTTGCCCGATCAAAGTTGAGATTGTTGGATGCGGGTCCACATTTAGTAAGCCTTAGAATGCAGCATGGTGCCGTTGAGAGATAGCTCCAAGCAAACTCAAGTAGCCCGAACCGTAAGCCATCGAACATGGCGAGCCAGAGCGAGCCCGCTGCAACCTGTTTCTGGCACATGGAACCTCTTCTCAGGACAGGATTTAATGGAGGCCAAAGCCAGTGAATCTTTCTAGAAATCAGAAGACACGACCAGTCTAAGAATTCCAAAAGTCGTGAGCCAACAAACCCAGTTTTGCTTTCCAAATCAGAAGCCAACATCCAAGCATCTGAACAACAACCATCGTGTAAGGGGTTAAGGAGAACTGACCAGACACCGACAACAGCGGGTCCGTGTTTCTCCGGCTCGACAGACCGAAAGACCCGAGCCCGAAACGACGAGCTCAGCACCTGGCCCGCTCCCAAAAGCCGCCGTGGCCCACGAAGACGATTCCTCGGGCGGTGGCTAAAGGGAGGGGGGGGTCCAAAGAACCGGGTTGACCGATGATCGAAAGGAAGCCAAAAGGAACAACAACTTCCTATGGGGGCTGGGGGGGAGGGAGGGGGAGGGAGCCCAAATAAGCCCTAACTAAAGCCTTAAGGGCGAAATAAGGTTTTTTTGGGGCTCCCCCTCCTCTCCCCAGCCCCCCATGAACTTCAGGTGCCCCTCTAAGGCCCCGATGTTTTGCGAATATCTGAATCATTTTCATCCGACAGGCACCGGGAGCAGCAGTCCTGTCGGGCTTCGGTCCGGCATGGGTTCTTTGCCGTGGTAGGTGTGTCACCGCCTACTTTCAGTAATACTTTGCTAATTTGAGATCTACCTAGACTCTCCACGACCCTTCTTCTGTTTAAAAATGGGTCCATGACCCCATTATTTTGGGTAATGACCCCATTTTTTAACGGTCATGGAGACTCCAGGTACGTGCCTTGGTTCAAGCCAGAATCCGCCGGAAAACAACAATGGAGCTCTCAACAAACACACCTTTCAAACGAACATGGTCTTCCAGGAACCCCCTCGCAGGGGCTACCTTCGGGGGGAAATGGATATGTGTCAACATGAAGGAGGGGAGCCAAAAAGTTGGGTTCCTTTTGTTTATCTTCAAACAAAGGTGAAGAGGGTACCCTCAAGAGCAGCACACCCGAAATGAAGCAACAATTGGTACGTGATGCCTGACTTTGTGGCTATGTACTTCATGGGTGGAATGAGCTTCTGCGCGTCCACCCTGGCTTGGCACCAAATACTGAAAGCCTCCTGCATGGCAGAGTGCCAAAATAACGGGAACCATATGTACTTATTCAACACATACTGAACACATTTTCATATTATATTCATATTATGTATATACGATTGCGTACATACCAAAAGAAATATGGATACTTACAGTGTGTATCTCTTTCCGTCTGTCGTGTTTATACATTCATATGTATGTATGTATATATATATGTATAGGCTGTATAGGGTATACTAGCCACTTCAGGTCTTCTATGTGCCAGGAGGTGTTGTCTTCAAATATACTAGTACTGTGGATGGACGAAATCCTGCACCACCTAAGACACCCTGGTGTCTGATGATTCCCCTAACGTAAATACCAACAAACAATGGGTTCAACCATGGTTTCCAAGTGGTGCAAAATGGATTTCGTCCATGCACAGTATGTATAACGACCTCACACGACCTCACCCTGAATGGTAGTTTACGTGGGGAATAGCCCCCCAACCACCTTATTTCAGGCTGGTGACATATTATAATTCGCCCAGATATATCTCATGTGTACATTGCAGGGTTCATGTACCAGGGTTCCATTTGGGGGTTAACCTATTTTTGACCCACACCATTCTTTTCCTGAGGCCGCTGAGATCTCTACCAGGGCTCGATCCTGCGGCAGGTGTTTGGCCTTGGCGATGAGCGCCTCGGCGCGGGTCCACTGGTCCTCCCCAGGCTGGGGCCACCAGGTCTCCGGCAGCGCGTCCCAGCCTGCGGGGTGATGGACCGGGCTGGGGGGGTCCCTTTAACTTTATCCCCTATCACCGAACCCTAGCACACACCTTGGATGTTCAACCTATATCATGCATTGCCCCCTTTCCTGCTGAGAAAAAACAAGAATCGAGACTTGCAGTGGTGTCGGTTTGCCGCACCAGCTGGTAGGTGGTTTATCCCTCTATTTTTAGGGTTTCATACATGGTGGTTGTTCTAAATTCCTTTGTCTCGAAACGGCCATTCTTCGCGAATAAAAAAGTTACTTTCGCGAATCTTTCGCGGATTCATCGCCGTGCCCTTTTCCTTGCTCCAGTCAGAAAATCGTTGATTTTAAGTGCCAGCGTAGTGCGCGAAATTCGATTCCCCAACTCCCGCTGTAAAGTCGCAACTTTCATCACAGGGGTAGTAAATGACATGCACGGGCTGGAAAGAGGCAGCTTTCGTAAGCCTTGCAGCTCCAGCTTAAAGTCGCAACTTTCCAGTACCAAGCTGGTATACTGACAAGCGCGGCGCTCAGAAAGTACCTCCCCCTTACAATCGAAGCCGCTTTCGCGGAGCTTTCGCGGATCTTTCACGGAACTTTCGCAAAAAACCACCCACGTTTCAGAGCGGAAAGGCGCCGAGTAAACACCCACAGGCACACATACACAGGCGTGGGGCACTAACCAGCCAAGCAGGGTATCAAACTGTAGCCTCACCAGGCGTTTTCGGCGCAAAAACAACAAAGTGTTGTAATCAGAGCAGAAGGAAGGCTCAGCAGCAAAGATGAATGGTTTCACATATCATTGATTTACAAGACACAGTTTCGCAAAACTTTCGCGAGAAAAAAAGTTACTTTCGCAACTCCATCGCGAATCTTTCGCGGAGCTACCTCAACCAACACCGATGGTCACCGAATACTAAACTCCTTACAAGGACCTTTAGAACGACTCCCACATCTTGCCTGGCGTGGGTTTGGTCCATGCACCCCAACCCGAAACCACCTCCAGAACCACCCCTCCACCGTACCAGCCTTCCACCCTACCACCCTGCCAACCTACCACTCTAGCCACCCTACCACCCTAGCCACCCTACCAACCCAGCCAACCCAACAGCCACCACTCCCCTACCCACCGCCAAAAGGAAACCAAGAATCCTTGTTCAACCCATGGGTGGGTGGCTAGGTCCTCCAGTAGCGACGCCCCGGCGCCGACGTGCAACGCCGCCGGTTGAGCTTTTTCGGCCTCCCCAGGCGTGGATCTCCTCCAGGCCCGGCGTGCCTTCTCGGAGCAGCAGCTTGGACTTCTCAGTGCCTCGCCATTCTGGACGATTCACGTCGTGGCTTTTCGGGTTGGAGGTATGAATTGGGTGGTTGGGATGGGTGGGCAGTTGGGTGGGTGGTGGGGTGGGGTGGTTTGGTTGGAGGTACCTGGAGTCTCCATGACCCTGAAGGAAATGGGTCTTTTTGACCCCATGATTTTGGGGAATGACCAACCATTTTTTAAGGGTCATGGAGACTCCAGGTACGAGTTGGGTGGGTGGGATGGGTGGGAAGGTTGAGGGAGGTGGTTGCATTGGTTGGGGTGAGAAATTGGGGTGTGCCAAGAAAGGCAACCAATGGCCGGGTGCTTCTATGGATGTAGGAATCCTTTCGAAGGGAAGGGGTTTAAGTCGACATTGAAATGTCAAGCCTTGGTAAAGCAAGCAAAGCACTATCCTGACTCTTGTGCCTCGTTTCTCTTGCCTGTTGCTGTGCCAAACGTACCTTTGGCTTCGGCGCACACTTCGTCTGCTCTACACTCCTCTACTCTCCTCTACTCCCCTCCACTCCCCTCCACTCTCCCCTACTCTCCTCTACTCTCCTCTCCTCGCCTCTGTCTCTCTCTCTCTCTCTCTATCCCCCTCTTCCTCTCACTCAATTCTCTCTTTCTCTCTTTCTCTCTCTCTCTCTCTCTCTTTCTCTCTCGCTCTCGCTCTCTCTCTCTCTCTCTCTCTCTCGCTCTCTCTCTCTCTCTCTATCTCTCTCTCTCTCTCTCTCTCTTTCTGTCTTTGTCTTTCTGTCTTTCTGTCTTTCTTTATTTCTTTCTTTCTTTCTTTCTGTCTTTC